TCCGTCACTTGCAGTTAGGAGTACTTGTTGAACCCTGATGAGAAGTGCATCCAAGTGGCAAACAATTATGAAATCCACCACATGATTTTAGAGGGGAACCTTGGCACTGAAGGATTGTGCACTTGTGATTCAGCACCTACAGCCTGCCTTTCATGCACCCAGGCACGAGGGGCTGCCAGCTGTCCCTGGCTCGCATACTGAGCTGCAGTCCAGTCCCACAGGGATGAAATGATGCAGGACTCGCTGCCTGGAAGCTATCACCTCTAAGGAGTCCTCTTCATCTCCACACACATAATCCTGGAGACCCTTTACAAGCATAAATTCACTGGTTTCAGTGGAAATCATAGGCATGCAAGAGCTGTGAGACAGAGCCCAGTGTGGTGGCACACACCTGTAATCCCAGCATTTGGGAGGCTGAAGCAGGAGGATCAGCACAAATTCAAGGGATCCTGGGCTACTCAGTGAGTTCAAGGCTAACCAGAACTTCATAGTGAGACTCTGTCTCATAAAACAACACAAAAGTCATGAGACAGAGTAAGTTCGGCTCATTTAAGTACTGTCTCTAGCAAGAGGTATTAAACTATTTTATTATTCTCTTTTTGACTGTTATTTAGCTTTCATAAAACTCAGCTTTTCCCATGTACTAGTTTCTGCTTTACATGCTATGAAATGAAATGAGGAAATCATGTTTTCATTTTATTTATTGGAATTTATACCCAACTCATCCCATTGATAGCTATAAGAAATGCTTTTATTTATTTATTTATTTTTGTTTTTTTTCCGGTACCAGGAATCAAACTCACTACCTCACGCTTGCCAGGCAGGCGCTGTGCCGCTGAGCTAAATCCCCAGTCCCAACAAATGCTTTTAAAGAAAATACTCCTGCTAACCTCATGTCTTCCTGTATTAGTCAGGGCTTTCCAGAGAAACACACACACACACACACACACACACACACACACATACACACACACACAGGAGGGCAGTTTAGGAAATGGCTCATGAGATTGTGAAGAATCATGTTTAATTTAAGGGACTCCATGAAGCTCGGAGCTTGAGTGGCTCCATGAGAACTATGCTAATTGCTCCTAAGGACAGTGTTCCCAGTGGCCCAGTTACCTTCATCAGCCCCGCCTCTTACAAGCCCCTATGGAAGACCAAGCCTCCAACTCATGAATGCTTAGGCAGGACATTCACATCATATCCAGACCACAGCACCTTCCAGGACATGCGTGGGTCTCAGCCAGTCAACTGAGGGACCTAACTGGAAGAGACCTCCACAGTACCCTCCAGACTGGTGTTTCTTCAAACAACAGGGCACCATGCCTAGCCAAGTAGACACAGAGAATGAATCATTACACTTTCCTTTGACCCCATCACCTTCCACCGAGGATGGGGCCTCACCTTCTAGTTCTGCCTTTCCACTTCCTGGTGACTTATGTCTCCATCTCCTGGTATATCTCCCACTCCTGTGCTTATCCATCTTCCCACTTTAGATCTGCATTGTTCAACACAATAGCTACTAGCTCCATGTACCCTCTTAAATTTAAATTTGAATCACTAAAGTTAAGTAATTAAAAACTCAGTTTCTCAGTTGCAACACCACATTCATTTGCTCAGTAGCCACATATAGCTGGTGACTACCATATTGTGTAGTACACATTGAAACATTTCCCTTGTTGCAAAAAAGCTTATTGGATACAGCTATTCTAGATGGCTCTTCATGATGTCCTTGCCTTCCTTATCTACACCTCTCTCCTCAGATATTGACTCTTAATCTTCCTGTTTCAGGTTTGCAGTCTCCCTTACCATCTGGATAGGCATATAAATCCTCACTGAGAATTTTTTGGAGACACAATTTGATGTAGTTGTATACAAGTATACAAGTATTTATACAAGTATAAATACTCGATAGTGGAAGGGGTTACATAGACAGACATGATAAAACATAGCCTCCCCATCTACTCTTAGGTTTGATTCCTCTCTACTTCCTAAGCTCAGGATGCAGTGGCTAATATCGCTAGACAGTGATTACAAATTAGATATTTTCTAATATTTGTATCTACTGTGAGTTGGATTATGTCCTCTCTAACATATACACTTTGCAGTCCTAACTCCTAGTATCTTGTAATGCAACCTTATTTGGAAGTAGGGGTATTGTATATGATTAGCTAAAATAGGGTTGTACAGGAAGAAGATGGGTCTTAATCCAATAGAACTGGTACCTTTATAAAAAGGGAACATTCAGGGACACACATAGGGAGAACACTATAGAATGGCAATGCAGAGGCTGGGGTGATGTGTCTACCTACAACGAAGGAACACCAAAAGCCACATACAAGCCACCAGCAGCAAAGAGCAGCACCATGTTCTCTGTCATCTCCCATCGAGGGAATGGACTCTGCAGATGCCTTGACCTTGGCCTAGCTTTCATAATCAAGACACAAATCCTCTTGTTTAAGTCACCCAGGTACTGGTACTTTGTATGGCAGTCCTAACACACTAATACACTATCCAATCTGTGAGTTGTTGAATTAGACACACCTGATGTAGTGAAAATAAATAAAATAAATTGCATAGTGTTTACATTTAAAAGTTTTTATATGTTCATCCTAAGATCCCTATGAATTCTGGGCTGAGACAGTGGTATTCCTTGCCATTTGCCTAATAGGACTATTAGGAACCCATAATCTGAACTAGGATCATTAATGTTACACAGATTACTAGTTGGGTGACCTTCACCAACTCTCTTCCTGCCCTGAGTCTTTGTCCTTCTCTGTAAAATAAGGAGGTGAAGCTAAAATCCCTCCTATTTCTAGCTAAGACGTTCTGGAAACTTGCAAAAATCTCCATAATCCAGGCAGACTTGATAGCCCACAGTCCACGTAGACTAAAAGTAGAGCTGTTTACAAAAACTGGCTCTGCTGATATAGAACTGAAGAAAAATATTAAAAGAGATTGCCCTAGAAAATTAACTACTCAGAGTGAAGAATTCTGAATTTATTGTCTGTCAACATTTAGAATGCATAATTCTAGAATAAATATTCCAGAAATATTCATTTGCTGTGCGTTGCTGTTAATGAAAGGATCTTCCATCTAGATTTTTCATGTCGTTAATGAATCAACTATTGAGTGCAATTTTAATTGTTTTACATTATCTATTTACTATTGAATTTTATTTAACTTTAGGCTTTCCTAAAATGGACTGATAAAAAATTGGGATGCTAAATGGTTGCTTCACCTGCTTGTCTGTGCTATTCACAGAGAATCATTAGAACATAGTCACATTAATTGTCTGGGGATCTTTTTTTTTTCCTTAAAAACCTAATCTGGAGAGGTGGAGCAAAATAAAATATCCTAAAAATATAGTGCATTTTCTTTTCTAGGTATTACATTCCGACCTTTCTCTGGACACTCCTCATCAGGAAAGGAAGCCCAGGTTAGGGCATTGCCCATGAGAGCTCTCTCGCTCTCTCTCTCTCTCTCTCTCTCTCTCTCTCTCTCTCTCTCTCTCTCTCTCACACACACACACACACACACACACAAAACCTAGAACACGCACAGGGGCCCACGCTGCTTTCCAAGCCCTCACACAGCTCTTTCTGGGTGACTCCTGCAGGGGACCATCATTGGCATCATCCATCCTGACTCCGAGAGGAGGCTGAGGAGGGCGTGCAGGGTGTTCGGGCAGAGCTAGGATTTGTGGGCTGGGGAACAGGGAGGGCACACACACCCCTGCCAGTGAGCAAGGCCCTGCTGACGCAGGATTGGGCCTGGGCAAGGACTTGGGAAGGAGCCCACCCTGGGCTTCTGGGTTCTTAAGAAGGCGCGTTGACCAAAGTAGGAGTGGAGAACCCATTTCCCTACAGTTTGTGATCCCGATATGTAACTTTTAGCATTGAGGCAGATGACACTTGGGATTCCATTTGGGGCCTTGCTCGGGACCTGGTAAGGTGAAGGAAGGCTAAGTGACATCATAACTTTATATTCTCGATGGTTCCATTCCTCCTGCTAATGATCCTCAGCTTACTGGTTTAAATCACACCTTGCACATAAAAGTGAGAGAAATGAATGGCTGAGAAAAGAAACCAAAAGGCATGAAGAAGTGAAAGGACTGAAGCGCAGGGTGTGGGCACAGAACATGGTGGCCTTTCTTCAGGCAACTTCTCACCCCACAGTGAGGGAAAAAACTGATGCTGCTCTGCGCTGGGACTCTCACGTCCTGCATCTATGAACTCATCTGCCACAACTCTGATCCCATGACAGCACCTCTGTCCCTGTGAGGGCCTAGGCCTCGAGGGCTACCTGCACGTGGAGTAGGCAGAGCTGCAGGAACCCAGGGAGGACGCCCGGAGGTCCTCTCAGGACTTGGTAGGCGCCACTCGCTCACCCAGACTGAAACATTAAACACCTCCTCAGGGGTGCGTGCACCTCCTGGCGGGGGGAGGGAGGACGTAAGCCGGATAGTGCTCTAAGGTTGTCAGCGCTGGCGAGAAAATAAGCTTATCATAGTGCCTGGCACTCAGTGGATCCTGGGACGAAAAACGGGGTAAGAGGGAAAGAAGAGAGAGAACGCACCTTAAAAAATTAACGCGGCTTGTGAGAGTCCTTAAGGTTAAGAGGAAAGCCAGACACAGCACAGGCGCAGAGACGGCCTCGAACCTGCGTAGAGGCCGGCCTCGCCCCACGGCCCCTCCTCACGCTGCCCCTCCCCACGGTCCCGCCCCCGCAGCCCCGC